GAGAGCGTCGGTGGTCCCCCCCCCCGGCCCCCATCTCCCAAAGGATGCTCGCCCAGACATCATTTCTTGGGATGCTCTTGGCAAAAAAATCATCAAAATTAGGGAGGGGGGAAAGAATCTCCCCCTTGAGACGCACCTTAACTTCGGATGTGTGTGTGTTTACTCACAGATTTCCAGATTTTAATTGAAACAAATAAATCAGATCGAAGGGTACGGCTTCTCAGGGCAACTAAAAATAATCATCGAAGCATCTGGGTTGGAAGGGAGCCTTGGGATCATCCAGTCCCACCGTCTGCCCTGCTCGATAAAGTTTTCCCCTAATTTAAGAAAAAAAAAAAAAAGGAGCTGTGACTCAGCTGGGGAGCCTGCAGGAGAGGGACTCTTTGTCAGGAAGTGTAGTGATAGGACAAGAGGTAATGGTTTTAAACTGAAAGAAGGGAGATTTAGATGAGATCTCAGGAAGAAATTTTTTCCTGTGAGGGTGGTGGGACTCTGGAAGAGGTTGCCCAGAGAAGCTGTGGCTGCCCCATCCCTGGAGGGGTTCAAGGCCAGGCTGGATGGGGCTTGGAGCAACCTGGTGTGGTGGGAGGTGTCCCTGCCCATGGCAGGGGGGTTGGAACTTGATGATCTTTAAGGTCCTTCCAACCCAAACCATTCTAGGATTCTATGACTCCCCAGGGTGACCTGTACCAGCAGTTGAGTGCCATCCCTAGGATGATGTTTTCCTCCTTGCTGACCTGAATTTCATTAGGAAAAATCTCGCCTCTTATCCGTCCTTAGAGTGTGAAATTGTATGAACTTTCTTAACTTATTAATTTATTTTTTTTCCATTGTACACTCCATAGTCACAGAATCACAGAACGCTATGGGGTTGGAAGGGACCTCTGGAGATCATCTAGTCCAACCCCCTGCCAGAGCAGGTTCCACCCAGAGCAGGTCCCACAGGAACGTGTCCAGGTGGGTTTGAATGTCTCCAGAGAAGGAGACCCCACCACCTTTCCAGGCAGCCAGTTCCAGGGCTCTGCCACCCTCACAGGAAAGAGGTTCCTCCTTGTGTTTAGGTGGAACTTCTTATATAGTCATGCTCTCCTGGACCCAGCCAGGAAAGAGTTAATTTTGTTTCTAGTGATTGCCCTGAAAGGAGCTAAGGAAAATTTGTGCTTTCCCAGGCTCTTTTTCAGCTCTGGATTCAGCTGAGAAGGAGCACAGAGGAAGCGATGGAATGGCCAGTGGAAAATTCATACCAGAGATGTCACGCTCAGAGGATATAAATGGGGGTTGGCTGGAGGTTAAATCCACGATGACTGCTCAGGAAAATACTGATTTACCAGGCAGTGAGAGCAACTTGTGCCATTATTATTATTATTATTGTTACTATCCTTATTTTCCTTTTCTGTTATTGTTTCTCTTAAACTGTCTTTGTGTCAACTCATGAGGTTTTTTTTCCCCCCTTTCCCCTTCTTTCCTGCCTCTTCTCCCTGCCTTTCTGTGGGAAGCGGGAGGACTATGTGAGTGGCTGCGTGGTCGTGGCTGTGGTTGGGGTTAAACCATGACACATGTCTGAACAGAATCATAGAATCACAGGATAGTTTGGGTTGGAAGGGACCTTTAAAGGTCATCTAGTCCAACCCACCTGCAATGAGCAGGGAGACCTTCCCCCAGACCAGGTTGCTCAGAGCCCCGTCCAACCTGACCTTGAACGTTTTCAGGGATGGGGCATCTACCACCTCTCTGGGCAACCTCTTCCAGCATCAGCATAAAAAATGTCATCCCTATATCTACTCTGAATCTACCCTCTTTCAGTTTAAAACCTATTCTCTTCTCCTATGGCGGCAGGCCCTGCTAGAAACTCTGTCCCCATCTTTCTTATAAGTCGTGAAAGAATGCAATAAGGCAATTTCTTAATCACTGGAAGGCTGCAATAAGGTCTCCCTGGAGCCTTCTCTTCTCCAAGGCTGAACGATCCCAACTCTCTCCGCCTGTCCTAATAGGAGAGGTAATAAATAATAAATAAATAAATACAATACATCATAAATGATAAATGAGTAAGTATAATAAGCATGACTAAAGGACTCCTTGCTCACTGCAAGGAGGAGGACGACAGCCCCCCCCGAAGAAAAAAAGATATCATTGGACTATTGAGATGACTCTGGCCTCCTTACCCCCCCTAACATCTCTGTGATACCCTCCAATTATCTAAAATCATAAATAACTGTAGCAAGACCGGCTCCATGGTTGTCTAGGTCAAGAAAGAAGCAGATGGATGGTGACACCACAGAATCATAGCTGCTTTGCAAAGCAGTAATCTCAGTGTGTGTTAATCGGCAATTGATCAAACCATGGTGTCTCTGAACGCGTGAAAGGTATCGGAACCGTGTGTAAAACTGCTTTTGGGGTGCCCCAGTTTGAATGGGACACTCCATGCGCATGAATAAAAGAATTACTTGTGTCACTCTATCGAGGTGCTGGAGCGGGTCCAGAGAAGGGTAATGGAGCTGGTGAGGGGTCTGGAGCACAAGTCTTGTGAGAAGAGGCTGAGGGAGCTGGGGGTGTTCAGCCTGGAGAAAAGGAGGCTGAGGGGAGACCTCCTCGCTCTCTACAACTCCCTGAAAGGAGGGTGGAGAGAGGTGGGGTCGGTCTCTTCTCCCAAGTCAAAGGCAACAGGACAAGAGGAAATGGCCTCACATTGTACCAGGGGAGGTTCAGATTGGATATTAGGAAAAATTTTGAAACTGAAAATGTTCTTAAGCGTTGGAATGCTGAAGGAAGTGGTTGGGTCACCATCCCTGGTGGTATTGAAAAGATGGGCAGACGTGGTGCTTAGACATATGGTTTAGTGATGGTTTTTTATCAGAGTTAGGTTGATGGTTGGACTGGATGATCTGAAAGGTCCCTTCCAACCCAGGCAATTCTATGTTTCTGCGATTCTATTCTTTGTGCCCGAGCCTCTCTCCTTGGTTGGCACAGGCCAGCTGGGGGATTTCCATGACAATTTTCCCCACTGCACCCCGTGTCTGCTGCCTCTCACCATTAGCTGTGCAGCTCCAGTGTGTCCTCCCGTTCTGTAGCTGAAGACAGCAGTCAGAACTCCTCTTCTTCATGCTGAGCAGACCCAGAGCTCATCATCTCCATCCGTACATAATCCCTCCCGGGGGGGGGGCAACAGCTCAGAAAGCATGAGCAACACCTGAGTGAGCGGGTTAATTCCTTCATTGTCTGATTAGGTAGGAACAAGACAGAGAAATGATTTGAGGTCAGCGGCGTTCCCAGTTTTCTGTGCTTGGTTTTATCTTCCAGTGATTTTAATGATTCATGTAATACACCTCTTCGCAGGAGCTCTTCCGCACCGCATCTGCATCTTAATTCAACAACGACAATAATCTCAGGATGTTTATTTCCTTGGCAAGCAGACAGAAATCATGGCAAACAGTGAGCCTTGTTGGATTTTCCTATCGTTCTCTTCCAGCTGGATCATGGGTGCTTTATCCTGAGGTCACTGTAAGCCCCCCCCCAAAATAAATACAAGAACACTGCCAGAAATCAAAAGCTTTTGATGCTGTCTTTCACAGTATCCTCCTGGAGAGGATACTCAGCACCCATAATAGACAGACAAACCCACCAGACAAGCCCATAATACGTTGGGTGAGCAGTTGACTGATGGGTCCAGCTCTAAGGGTAAGTGGGGTTATATCAGGCTGATGGCCAGTCACCTGTGGGGTTCCCCTGGGCTCAATTTTAGGGCCAGCGCTCTCTCATGCCTTTATAAATGATCTGGAGGCAGGAATTGAATGTACATTAGGCAACTTTGCTGAGGATACTAAGCTAGGAGGAGCTGTGGACTCCCTTGAGGGTAGAGAGGTCTTCCAGAGAGACCTGGATAGAACAGGCATCTGGGTGCTGGATTCTCCACCTGGGATGGAGTAATAAGCCTGGTTATACATACAAACAGGGGGACACAAGGCTGGTACAACAGTATTTCCCACAATGGCAGCAAAGTTGTGATGTTCTCATGAATCCACAATATTTCCATGAAGCACAGCTGCTGTGGCCATCTGAGGACGTCACTTTGGGAAGCCTTTGGTGTGTCTACCCTTTCCAAGTGGCACTCGACGCGCCGTCAGGAAAGGCAGTCTGGGGTTTGGTACGGCTACAGTTTAAACTAGGGGCTGCCAGGCATGGACCACGCTCTCCAGGGAGGTTCTCGGAGGCTTTGAGGAGCCTTCTTCATGATTCAGAGGAGGATGGGGTGGAAGGAGAGGCAGGTGGTACTGCGCAGGAGGGAGCCGGGGTGGAGAGCAAGGGCTTTGTGGGAGGCTGAGGAGAGAGCCTGGAGTGCCAGCAGGACGCAGCAGACGGCCTTGTCTTTCTGAAACTAAGGATGAATGATTGTTTTGGAACATCCACATGACAGAAAACAGGTGTGTGTGGGGGAGTAGAAATAAAAATATGCATATACACAGGTGCGTGCACACACACATATATATAAATTTCCTTAAAAGAACACACAAAAATTGCTTGCTTTAAAAAGGGATGTCTGTTGTACCCATACAGTAGCCCTGCATAGCAACAAATCACAGAATCACAGAATGGTTTGGGTTGGAAGGGACCTTAAAGATCATCAAGTTCCAAACCCCCCTGCCATGGGCAGGGACACCTCCCACCAGACCAGGTTGCTCCAAGCCCCATTCAGCCTGGCCTTGAACCCCTCCAGGGATGGGGCAGCCACAGCTTCTCTGGGCAACCTGTTCCAGTGTCTCACCACCCTCACAGGGAAGAATTTCTTCCTGGTATCTAATCTAAATCTCCCCTCTTTCAATTTAAAACCATTACCCCTCGTCCTGTCACTACACTTCCTGACAAAGAGTCCCTCCCCAGCTCTCCTGAACACCCCTTCAGA